TTTAATCGTTAAAATCCTTTAAAGTGTATTTTTCGAGTTTCTTCCTGACAAGTGGAAGATTTAACCCACTATTAAATCTAATCATATATAATCTACTGATAGTATGCTACTTTGGGAAACAATATTAGCAAGAATATTTATTTTGTAATTTATTATTTCTTCAGGCAAAGACATACATTGGTTTTTTATAATTATGTCATTTTTATATTGTTTCGATATCTACTTACGTAATTTAAAAGTAAAACTATATTTGAAAATGATTAGAAATGATTATACAATCATAGTGGCAGGAACTTACGTTATGATGTAGGTACCTTTTGTGACATATTTTATTGCAACGGTGAGTACCTATAAGATTCTATAAATTATTATTACACACAAGTACATTTATTTGTAAAAATATAAATGTACTGTTTCTATTTAAAGTCTGTATTCGATAATCATGTCTGTATAAAAGCATCCCTACTGAGGAGAGATCTTGTTTCAACCCTGCAATGAATAACTATTCAGGACACGTATTCGATTAGGCTTCGATTGATGTTTTGGGTTTATATATTAGTATCTACGTATCTCTATATCAATCACGATTATAACGTTGTTGTGGTTATGAAGTTTCGCGGATTACTGGGTCTGAGCACGATAATTCTTGCGATTTGTTGGTTATCTAATCTGATTATTACTTATAGCCCTCATCATAAACAAATTTTGCAAAAGAAGCTAAGGCTAAATATAAATTTTCATACAAACTGCGCAAACACGTAATCAATATTACTATATGATATAACATAGATAAAAAAATATATTCGTATTTCCACTTTGAAAACATTTAACTAAATGGTGTTTTAACCAATATTATTCGACTAAACGTGATCCAAAGATATAATCTATAATATAATTAATGAAATATCTATATTTAAATTGAACCTTTATTAAAAACATCTGAAAAGTATAACGTAAAACGGTTCAAAGTCAGTAATCAGTAATAAAAATAACAAAAGTTATCTTACTAACTTCAAGTATTTCGATATACACATATAATAATAATACCCCTGGATAATTAACACAGTCCCAACAGTTTAGTCCCGAGGTAAGCAGAGTCTGTTTTATGGATACTATACAACTTGTTTTTCTAGATTTTTCTGTAAATACGTCCATTATACATATAGAAAACACTCAGACCTATACAAACATTCACACTCAAGAATACAAATGTTTGTACCGCGCGTAGTAATTAATCACTTATTTGTACGATGAATTACTATATTAATATTATTTTAAAATTACTATTTTCATTCATCAATTTATTGCATCGTATTAATAAAGAATTATTGATTAATAGTAGCAAGTTAAAAGACAATATAGGTATATATTAATATACTATTATATTAATGTACTTTCTCGTACTTCACCACTCACTAGTTTTCCCTCCTGTAATAATATTGTCAATAAATATTTTTATTTCATATTGGTAGTTATTTACTCTATTACTTTTGATAACCTGTATAAACACTGCGGTTGTCCAAACTGATATAGTAAATCAGAAACAAGAATAAATAAGCAAGCATAATGACTTCCAAGGGAATGAAAAGAATCGTGCAAGTCTCGCGGCCACAACACTATATCACTTAAACATTTTTCGTATTCAACATTGGTTAGTTCCATAATGTATTATTACAATAGTAATAGGGGTGTTTTTGGCCGAAAAGAAGCTCTGAGTCGACGCACGAACAATCAGTGCCCACGCAGGCATAACGCTGCAAGGCCTTATTCCCATCGCGACCGCCAATCGCAATGAAGTAGCGTCATTTCGTGCCTGGCTTCTATTACAAGAGAGCCATCCTTTTTAATACAGCCTCTGCTTTTTACCCTTTGAATTTGAAATAATACTGTCACGTGCTGCATCGCGCGTGCTCAGAATGTCGCGGTGTTTGAACCAATAATAATATCTGAAAATTTGCACCAACTTCGTGTCCTGCAAATCACCCATTATTAGGGTCACTTATGAATTAGAATTAGGTCCAATGTTTCTAGTAGGAATGTATTTGTCGGTCTGTTTATTACATCTTAATGAAATTTGCCAGATAGTTTGTATCAGGAGAATGTACTAACATAGCAGAGAATCCTTATTAATAATGTAATTGTGATGTGTGTTCTAGTTGTTATCTTTTATTACCTTGACTACTCGGTCAATCAAGGGGAGAAAAGCATAAGTTACGTAGATACTCTTAATACGTATCAGTTGAGTTATACTAATATTCAAAATGGAATAGTATATTCGTCTGATTGTGTGTCCCTGTTATCTAAAACGATCTATTCATATGTTTATTTCTACTCATTTATCTCAAAAATAAGATACGATGAGAATGTTCTACTTTTTCTGAATATATAACATGTTCTATTAATATATTGATAATCTTGTGGTTGGAATCGCGGTTTGAATACCAAGTACGGGCGCTATAATATTCTTTAGCTGCAATATACGACGAAACTTAGTGGCTATTCAAAGTTGGCGAAATAAAAATAATGTATTGCCTCTACATTAGTTTTATTTCGCTAGCTTTGAATAATACTAATTATATAAACTATTCACGTTAAATATCCCCATACAATAACTATATGTCGTAATATTTTTCTATGTAACCACTAAATTTCTGGGCAATATTGTAATGGCACAATATCTGCCATCCAATTTAATTAATATTCAGTACTTACTAAAATATTGAATTAATATTTACAAAACTTTAGTTATTAAAAAAATAGGGAAGATTTTTCTTTCTAATGAATAAATTCAAAAGGTACAAGACCGATTTTTTAAATTCTCTTACCTATGTAAAGCAGATTTAAACAGTAATATTTATTTAATGAGCAGCGTAGTAGTAGCAGCACCGTGTGATATAAGAACGAGTAATATTAAGTACAAGAATGTCTACAGTAGTAGTTATAATAATATATTACTAACTTTTTTCTTTCAATTTGAACCTGGCTGTTAAGAGGAATCATTATTTATATTATAATAAAGATCAAAGTGATTTTTTTTCAATACAATAAAACCTATTTTATAATAGAGACATCAGCTAAAAGATACTAATAACAGTGAAGGCACCTACGCTAAAATATCAATCCACAATACAATGCAACACAAAATACAATTTCCGTTTTCGTTCGGCAAATTCTCCATCACGTATGCTAGTATACAGAGTACAACTAGTACAAAATAAACTTTTTGGAATACAATAAGTTCGTTCCGTACCTGTCTGTATTGATTTCAACAGTTTAGCAGTTTTATAGAGAAGAGCAATCGAGAGATTCTGTGCACGTGCTATGATCGTTATCTGGTAATATACGAATATTGCACAGTCATTCATAAGTGATTTTAGCTGCACCACCGTTATACGGCTTCCTTTTTCCGTAATATTATTTTGAACAAATTAAGTTATATGATTGACATTTAGAGTTATTGAAAATGTTTGTGACAAGGTAATGTTACCGATATTATTAGTTTATTTGTTTTAGGGCAGAATTCTTTAATATTTTCTGGTATTGTTTTTCTTTTTAAATAGTTGGTAAGACAAAGAGGTTTTCCATTTAATTGTAGGTGGCAACTGTTATCTACATCAAATAGAATGATGAACCTACGATGGACAGCAGTTATTATGTCACTGTGGACTACGTTAGATTATTCCGGTAGACTAAGATATTATGCCTCCATATCCATTAATTTTACCATCTGATTTCTCTCTTTAATCGCAACAAAAGTTACAAAGCAACGCACTTGGGGGTAGAAATACGGCTATTAAATTAATTCATAACTTAAACTGTTTAAAAGAATATTAATATGGTATATTTTTAGATTCTTATTAATAATTAATACGTACATGTACTTAACGGATTTATTATTGGGAATGCTACATATGAGACTGTCATAGACATATATATAATTATATAATAATATTGTTCAAAAAGTATTTAAAGGGTTAACAAGTGTTTAACAAATTTAAATAAATTTTTATATATACCATTTAAAATAGGAGAAAAAGTATATTGAGAATAAAGTTATTTTTGTTTATTTATCATATATTTTAACCCCGAAATGTTGTTTATTTATTTGAATAAAATATGCTGTAATTATTATAAATCTTATAAATATTATAAATCTGTAATCATTTGCAAACATCATAGATTTTATATATTTGCACTAAACGTATTATATGAGAAACATAAATAAAATTATATAAGTTGTGATTACATTATTGAATTAAAAGAGGATTTATTTTTTATCATTAGTATACTCGTAATCAAATCACTATGTGGCACATTATCGTTATCATTATCAAAAGATATAATAAATTATAATTATAATAGATGGATGTCTCATATGTTTTGACTCAATATTTGTATGTATTTATAATTTATCGAATATTATGCGAGCGTCATACCATAGTTATGGCACGATTACAAAGTATGTAAGTTCGAATCTGACTAATAAAAATACATTTTGACTGCTTCTCTAATAATAAGAATACCTATAGCAGAAGAAATTAATCTTAGAGACACTAGTAGATTTTCTCCTGTTGGCAACGTTGGGTTCTAAACGTTTTCAGTGAAATAGGTACATGCCAAGTGTTGCGTTAACCACGACGTTGACAGTTGGATATGCCTCTTGTACTGAAGTCCTAAATTTTAGCACCAGAAGAAAATACTAACAAAATTGAATAGTGGACTATTTGTGTGTATAATATAACTTTTGTATATTATACAATCAACACAGAAATAAAAATAATACTTATTATACGGGCTATTGTGTTGATGGGATTTAAAGTGTATTTTATCGTTTAAACCGAACCAAAAATATTTAACATAGGTCATGCATAATCAAAGTAAATACCTTCTTTTATAATTTAAATTTTATTGCTACGTGTATAAATTATAAATACTAATATACTATAAAGCTATTTTGACTACTACAAAACAATTTTTTTAAAATGTAATATTTCAGTATACTAGAAACTCTGATTCATAAAATCGTCATTGCAAGTGGATATCTCTTTAAGCACGCTTGATACACCCCAAGTTTTACTTCTTCTGAGTGGTGGTCTTCCTCGGATCCTGCCATTATACTTATGTCGTTTGTGATTGATTGGACTCTGTTCATGATCCGACATCTCGTCACATTTGCGTTTTGATGAGGATGAGGATGATGATGTATTACTTTCTCGTGATCTATAGGGTGTTGATATAGCTGCAATGATAGTAATTGTTTTATGTCAAATTATACATATTATTAAAAAAAATATAAGTACTATTTAGATCGTACCAATTAAACAAAACTTATATTTTGAAAGTGTGTTTGTCCTTCTGTTTGTATATGTGATTGTTTCTAGACTAAATGGCTGCATGAAAAGTAGACTGTATCAGAAAGACAGACAGAGATTATCGTTTAGTTAAAAAACCAGATAACGCTAGAAAAACTTTAGTAATACGAAAAACATATCAATATAAAAAAATACAAAATATACTCGTATGTTGTATATATTACATATATGTTATGATTAGATTGGGTATATAAGTTTCGATTACAATTTCCAATGTTTGTTATTAAAATTTTCCTATACTAATTACTAAACAGTTTGTAAATAGTGTAATATACTTTTCTTACATTCAAACTAATGAGATTTATATGTATATACACAGAAAAAATCAGAAAAAAAATTGATTGATAACTAAAGTCACGTTATCCTTTATGTTATACAGCTTACGGAAAATATTATTTATAAAGGCTGTAAGTATCTAATAAGCGTTGCGTTGATTTATTTATGAAAGTGGATAATAAAAAACATGCACCTAAATTAGACCCTTCTCCCCAAAATACATTTTTCACTGCTTTTGCTACAGTTGACCAGATATTTTCTTTGTTTGGGCTCACATTTCTTTCGATTTCACTCGACCTCTCATCAACTCCATCTTGATCATCTACAATTCTCTTGATACTAACTTTTTTCTTTGTAATAACAAACTTGAATTGTATCTCTGTTTCCTCTTCATTTGTTCTCAAAGCAGAAGTAAGACAATTCTGCAAAGAGCTGGCAATGTTAGCAGTGAGTGCTGTTATTGCATTATTGGCATTGGATTGAATAGGTGAGTTGTAGCATGTTCTGAATAATTCGTTTGAATCCTTTGAGTAATTTTCTGATTCAACTATGGGACTATCTTCTTTGAAATTTATAGCCCTGGCCAGCATATTTGTGTGATCACCCACTGGTGGTGTACTTTCAAGTGGTTTCTCTTTAGTAAAATGTATAGGAGTTCTTGCGTATGTAATTCCTTTATTTTCAAATCGATTGATGAGTGCCTGAAATCTTGGATTATGACAGAATTTCGGTTTTTGTGGTCCTGGAGTAAGCATTCGTTTCGGTTTTCGATATACTGAAATATGAATTGAAAATTTTATTGTAAATAAAAATATATTACATACCTTATTACATCTTATAAGTACAATATAATATAGCATTATTAACAAACTACTAAATGCAATAAGCGGTTCATTGTATGTAATTATTGTAATTAGAACGGCAAACAAGCTAGTGGGCTACCATAGTAAGCGGTACACGTCGCCTTTATACATGATATCATGTGACACCCGTGATGTGCTATCCTATAATTTATGTATCTGCCCATTACAACCAAAATACAGCTTAAAAAGTAAGCTACATACAACATAGTGAGACAGAGGTACCTACGTAGACGACTTTCTGTGGTAAGTGTCCTTTAATAATATCATATTGTTACGTATAGTTCAGGTGTTGTTCTGAAAATCACAGATTTATAACACTTGATTTTGTAAATCTGTCATTAAGACAAAATAATGATAATAGTATTCTTTAGCTTTAGAATAATTACAGAGTAGAAGTTATAATGTAAATGAAAGGGTTTTTACCTCGTTTTACTTTTGATTGCTGTTCAAAAACTGTATCTTCAGCAAATTGTACTTTTTTAGTTTTTACTGAAGACACGTCTGTATTGTTTGCAGAATCTTGGAAAGTAACATGTTTTTCTGAGCTATCTTGACTACCAAGGCGTAATCGACTACCAGTGACAATAATGCTTTTCAATTTTGGAGGTACACACTCTATTTCTGCTTTTGATGGCTGTTGGACAATAAAAAAAATGTTAATGCCGCACTTTCAAGTCTGATATATGTAATTTGTTAAAACTATAAACTATAAAAATGCGTTTATGATAATTATAGTAATAATGAAGTCGAATACAATAATAATAATTATTTATATATGTATATATAGACGTCGGTAGTCTAGCGGTTTAACACTCTATATGACTTCCGATCTCGCGTGTCTTTGAATCGATCTGGGTGTTTCATATATCTTATTATGTACGTTTTTACAAAAATGTATTTTAATATTTCTATCAGTTATTCAATACCCTCAAAATAAACTCTGCAGAGCTTGGTGTTATGTTGTGTATATTTTTCTGGATTATTATTTTTATACCTCATTTGTTACGCTCTGAGCTGGACTGTCGGCATTCTCAATTTCTGATAGTGGAGAATCAGCTCCTTGTTCAGGAAACAGAGACCAACCTCCATTGTCAACCGGGTGAGTTGGGGTAGAAGTTGTAACTACTTTTGCTAGTTTCAAAATTTTGGGAATGTGAGAAGTTGGAGTTGTCATTTCTTTTTGCGGTTCTGAAACTGTTATTGATAATTAATAATTATATATGTCATATATAATTAGTAGGTATGTAAATAATAACGATTAAAACGTTAGTAATATATTAATTAAAATAATATGAAATAGATAATATACAAGTACTATATTTAAACCAGACATGATTTCATAATAGGTTTTAATTTTAACATAATTATTGTACAAGGAAATATAATTCAATCATATAAATAAAATATACCTTATGGTTTTCTATATGATTATCCCCCTAATTGTAGTTGAGAATATAGACATGAGTATTTTATGTCCATTTTTATTTATAAAAATTAAAATATGATATGATACACTTACCAGTATCATTGTTTTCATTTCTCAATGGTGTAGTTTTACTTGCGGCAACTGATCCATCATAACCATTACCATCAATAGTTTCATCATATTCTTCTACAATGTTTTGTCTCATTAATGTAAGTATTTTTTTTGCATGCGGTGTAGCAGCTCTTTGACGTTTTAGTTTAGGTGTTTTAGGAACCAATTTAGGATGTGGTGTCATATTCTTCTGATTTTTAACATCTTCAGTTTCACTATCGCTGGACTCATAGTCAACCAGATGTTTCTTTCTAATAATAGGCGTTATTACAGCAGTTTTGCTCGATTTATTAAGAGATACTATACACTCAACATTATCGTTTGTTTTCTCATATAGAGACTCAAATTTCCTGTCAACATCACGCGACTGATTTTTACTCGCATTTTGTTTTGCGTTTATTAATTCCGAAATGCTATTACATTTATCGATGTTTAAAAAGTCTTCCATTCTACTAAAAATCTTATTACACTTCTTACACTTCAGGGGTAAATGTTCTTCAGATAAATGACGTAAAAAGTTTTCTTCTAATTCTTTTGGTTTGCAAAGAAATCTATTACCACGACATATTGAGCAATCAAACATGAGGTTATGTGCTGATTTCTCGTGTTTCCATCGACAATTAGAACAACAGAATGGTAATTGACATACAATACAACAGGCCTAAAAAAATTAATAAGTTTCTAAGTAGAAAATAGACACAAAAAGTTGTAAGTATGCAGTGGATTATGCTTATAAGAAAAAATATTTATAATTCATACAATATTTTTTGTTCCGTTAATAACCACTTATAACATAGTTTAGGTTTCATGCTATTTTAAATAAAATGAAAACATCATAAAATACCATAAGAAAGCGTAACTGCGACTTTATGTCGAAAAGGTTCCTTTGACACAATTCCGTTATTTCACGTCTGAGATCGACTTAGCAAAAAGCGAAAACGTGTTTTCTAGCCAACCGCATTACCTATAAGTGTCGGCTACATTGGTGAAAAAGTTAACCTTTACAAACTATATATTAAGCTTCATAGTTAATTGTGTAATGATTTTCACTAATAAAATTAATTGTAACCTTTTCAATGGTCTAAGGACAATCCGCCACTATCTCATATTTTTTTATAGTATTTATTATTATTCTTTATTAAAATTCTTTATTAGACTATATCGTTTGGTATACAAAAATATATAATTAAATTCTTACTAGAAAATGTAAATATGAAGTATAAAACTATATAGCCAGTACGTCAGCAACAGTATTTATTGATAATATGCCTATGTGCGATATGCGCCTGATCCATTAATTTAAAAAAGTACTAAATTATGTATAAATAAGATACTAATAAAATTATAAACAAAATATAAAATACACAAGAACTCACTCAGAACTTTCGCGCTTGAAATTGATTGCAAAAAAATAACGATCTTTTAGTGTTCAAATAAAAAATATCATATTTGAATAAGTATATCACAGTTAACTTTTACGTATATTAAATATTACACAGTAGATATATACATATCGTTAGTATTTTGTAATACAATTTTGAATAAGCACCGAAAGAAAATACTTTATTCTAAACGTTAGTAAGTTCATACTGGAATGGTACGTTATAATATTTTGATGGATATTACCTCAGGTGATGGCTTCATTATATTTTCTGCGTCATATTCTTCGTTATGAAAATAAATTTATTCAAACACATGCACCAAACGTAATAAAATGTTGTATTCCTCAGCTCAACACATTGACTGTTATTATTGAAACACTAGAATATAATAGTGATTCACCAACAACTCAGTGATTGTAATAAATGAATTGTAATTTACCTACCCTCATTTTGCAAATATTTCTGGTTGTCAGTTTTATAAGCAAAGTTATTCGTATTAGTGGAATTTGGAATTTGAAATTCTAATGTTATATACGCAAGGGGTTTGTCTGTTATCCCTACTAATATTGTACAATCGAAAGTAACTGTTTGTCTATCTGTCGCGTTTTAAGTCAAAACTATTAAACCAATTTGAATTAAATTTGGTACACAGATAGCCTAGAAAGGAGATAGGCTATGTTTTAAAACGAAAAACGAGTTTTAACGGGTTGAAAGGGGAAATAAAATTTGTATGAAAGAATCCTCATTTTTATAGCTAGAAGCTCGAAACTTATCTTTTAGGCTATTGATTAGAATATAAAAAAATATGACATTCAGAGTTCGTAAAATGTTTACCCTTAAGGGGATATAACTAAATAGTTTCATCATTAAAGCTTCAGAAATTGTCATTTTTGAAGCATTAATGATGAAACTCTTTTCTTATCTTTTTGGGTCAGATTATTAACAATTTTTTTATATGGTCATTGTTTTGTTTCTTTTATTCGTCAAAAGTACAATAGATAACTTTTTTAATTTAGTTATATGTTATTACGTCAAGGATTTTATGTATAGTATGTGTCTTATTTATAAAATAATTGTATATATAAATAAAAACGCGAGCACAGTTAGTCGAAAATATATTGATTTGAGAAATATGAATTTATGTAGATAGATAAACTTAGTATAGAAGTATATAAAGTTGTACTACAAGCTGTTCTCCAATGTATGATATAAAAGCGAAATTATGCGGTGCGGAACTGTTTAGCTTCCTCTCTGTTCACTTTTCCTTTCGTTTTTATATGTTTTTTTGTCGTCACTTACTACTCCTATTAGTACCCCACTTGCTACATTTATCTATGTTTCTGAATGCTGTTATTATTGCTTTGATGTCATCTCAAAGATGATGGATCCTACCTAATATTTATGCCTACCCAATATTAATATTCTATTTATAGAATACAATCTGTATGATTTCGTTATCGTCTAATAACTACATAAATAATGAGAATACTATATTTATTGAATATTAATAAAACACCGGATTATATAATAAAAAACTATATTACAATTTATTTTTACATACTTCAAAAAGTTATATCTATTCTATAGGCGTAGTTCCGATTGTCCCACCGTGTCTCTGACCTGTAAGGTTGCCTAACCAAACCTAAAAAATATTTATCTATGTACTAATTAATATATTTATATCCATAAGAAGTTTTATATTTAACAGTCGATACAAAAATAATAATAAGGTCGAAGATACAGGGTACAATTAGGTGTAACCGTTTTGTATGAACATACATATCGGAGTAAGACCGTACAGGTATAGTTTGCTAACTGCATAATATTTTAGACTACTGCAGCACTCTGTTGAGTGTGAGTGATGATAGTGACGTATCTTCTGCTGTTATATAAGTAATTATATTGCAACATTTAAGTAGCTGTAATTAAGAATATCTGCTGTCGATATAATTGTTATTAATTATTAAGAGAACATTGTACGATTATATTTATCTATCACAAGATATCATGATTTAAACTCCTGTCTATCACACATTAAAATATTATTAATTATCAGACAATAAATAGGGATCAAATTGTATATTACTGTTATACATAATATAATGTTCTTTTTACTAAAAAATGGATTTTAAAACAGATTCTTATGCCTGCATATCTTATGGTAGTTTTCTATTAGTCAATAAATTTCTATACATTAATGAATGAATATTATAATCAACGCGCAAATTATACTATTGGTAAGACGAAATGATCAAAGTAAGTATAATAAATAAATGATAATAAATAATAAATAAATCTGGACAGGTAACACAGCGCCATCTAATCCCACGGCAAACCCAGCTTGTACTAAGTCTAGTACCCATAATACAAGCTGAAAAATCTAAGTATTTATATCAGTTGTAGTATACTTACTACAACTGATATAAATACTTAGTTTTTTTTTAATACGTACATAACATATGCACCCAGACCGATACAAGCAATCATAATCACGCCTACAAATGTTTGCACCGTGCGAGGAATCGAACCCGCGAACCATCGGGAGTAAAGCGGTGTGCTTAATCGCTTGACCACCCAGGCCGTTAAGTACGGTGTCGGTTATCAATTTGGTAACACAACATTCTTAAAGTCACAGAACATTATGTTTGCGTCTAAAACACTTTCTAGGAATGTGACACTTGTTGATGGCAGTGGAGAGGATGCATGATTTCCTGCAAAGATTGTCTAAACGGCCATTCTGAAACAATCCGGGAATTGTGTCAGCAGAAATGTTAATGTTTAAACATTTGCTGTTGTCGACACAGAATATGTCGAATGTGTCGAAAACAGCAAATACTCGTCTATTATTTAATGACAAAAATATAATTAATATAATTGAGTTTGCTTAAACCAGTAATTGATCTATAAATTTTATAGGTAGGTAAACTCTGTACAAACTTTGTCTTAAAAATAATAATAGGTGTAAAACATTATTATTTTTAAGAGATGATAATGGAATGGTGCACTTGTCTGCGCTAACGCTATAGGCTGGCGGGGCAATAGTGGATGATGACAAGATGACTATAAAGGCAGGTCAGTTAGCCCATAATATAATAGCAAATTCACGAACTTGATGTTAAATTGAAGGGGATTGTTATGTAACAATCCCCTTCAATAGGCCTATTTCATCTACCAGGTAGCTTGCTTCTAGAAGTGTTTTTCGGAAAAAATTGAAGGATGTAATTACAGCCATAATGCAAATAAAATTACAGGTAAAACTTAGTCCTAAGGACAAGTAATATAGATTCATTTTATTTAAAACAAAATAAATTAAACCAAACTAACAAAACAAATAAATCAATAAATATCTTGAAGAACAAGAAGTAATGACGTACAGATTTCATTTTCATTTATGTTAAAAGTCTTTAAGTTTTCATTTAATGATTTGTTTTTACTCAACTATAAATTACTGGACCGGTGAAAGCAATTTTCAAGATGCTAAAATAAAAAAATAAAGGCAAATAATGAATCTCGAAAGAGAAAATGGTTAGTGTTGCAATTCCCCTGGTGTTGCGGGTGCTCATGGGCGGCGGTAATCACTTACCATCAAGTGAGCCGCAAGCTCGTTTGTCCCCTGTGTTATAAAAAAAAAATACAACAAAATACGTGCAAATAAAAAAAAACAAATCATATTTTGTTATTATACTTTAGATCTATATATATGCATAAGAACAAAATGTGAAAATTTTCCTTACTTCGCGTGCAGAATACTGCATGTGGAATACACTTGTGCGCGGTTGTATACAACGCCATATTAAACCACTCGTGCTCGAGATTTGAAATTTTGAATAAAGTTTCCTTTTGCGAGGCAGCGTTTCAATAAGATACAATTTAACGAAATTTCCACGTAATAGCAAATAATGGATTCCACGAGGGAACGTAATTTATGTACTACGGATACCGTATCTATGTGTGTATTGTAATAGATTTTACATTACACATGTTTTGTTTATGACCAACTGGCTTAATATCAGTCGTGATCATATTAGTACGATACCTAAGTGTATGGGAATGCCTAGTGTTTATAAAAAGAACAATCAAAATCCGTTTCGTTGATTTTTAGACCACAATGATGACAAACAAGCCTACTGATGGCTTGTTTGTCATCATTGTGGTCTAAAAATCCTGTGTTGCCTGCAACACCAGTTCACGTTTCCATTGCCAATTAATATAGCGTTATTGAAAAACTTAATGCTGTAGACACTAGCGAAACCTCGGCAGCTTTTCATTTCAAAATATCCGTGAGTACGGAGGAAACTCCTCTGATACCGACTGTCATGGTTCCAAGATGTGCGGGTGAATTTCCTACCGATGGTGAGCGACGCGATTGTAGAAAATTTGATATTAAACATCGTATAACCCAAAAAAAATCGCAAAATTTCCTGTGTTTACTATTATTAATTGCACTCGGATTGAATGTAGAACGAAAATATAAAATATTGCATCCGATGTTGCGACAGATGGTGTTTGTTTGATGACTGTGTGATATCATAAATCAATCAAGCTATATCATAAATCAAAATGGTACGACACAATGTGTTTACACTAATTGTTTGCTGAAGTTTGTTGAATTAAAAATACATTGACTAATATTCCAAATACATATACGCGTTATTATCATTTATCATCACAATCTATATTTATTACTAGGTGGGTCCACAAATTGGAGATAGTACAACTTTTTATTTTAAAACTAATTGGCATAAAACAAATACAAATTATTAAGTAAAGCTTACCACACTAATAAAGCAAACCGCCAGCCAAATTTCTGAGATTAGCGGACTCAAAAGTCATACAATAACTAGACAAACAGAATACAATTATAACTATTATTTTTAGAGTTATATTATGTTGATAATAAAGTAAAATAAACATTATTCATGTATATTATAATTTAGACAGCATTCAGTTATAATTTTATTACATGGATCAGTGGACTGTATGGGTGTCTAAATGATGAAAAAACGTAACTACGTTTTTTATTTATTTTTTTAATAAACTTATTATAATATAATATATTCGCATATAGTTGCGAACTATCTAAGAGACAATGAATCAATAAAGTGAAATATATCAAATAAAATGACATATAAATTTTGAAATAATAAAATTATCAAAGGAGTTCGACGGTCGGTTGCCAACAATATATATGTTGATATTATATAGTGTATACTACAAATGTGGAGCATTAATTATTTCTCAATTAAGGCAAATAAAAACCCATGAGTGAGTACCACCTGTGTGTTGTCATTGCGGAGGACGAAAATGTCATAGCTCCATATTTTGTAATTAAGTGCATTATTTTACCCTTTTAACTGTACCATGATATGACAGAGTTACTCACACACTATTGCGTATATAAATCTACCTTGTTCAAAATACTTGAAGTAGATAGTCTGACAATGTAAATTAAGGTCCGGGCATTAGCTAGTTGTAGTTATAAAACAGTGGAATATATTTAATATACGAATATGTGGGTATTTTGAGGTTGAACAAGATAGGTTTATTTACACATTACTAAGACAAGAGATAAAAGATAATTACATATGACTGAGTTACGAACCTTGATAGTGTGAATGAAAATCAGTGATATAAGTGTTTACTTTGGTCCAGTGATTAAGTGTCTATTTATAATAATAAAGTAATTAAAATGTGTTTATCGCGTACAATAGTAATAATGCGTTACATAGTAATGTAATTTATTGTTAATTAATCAAAATAATCATTATTATATCTATATATTATATATTAATCATAATTTTAAGGTTTACAGAAAATAATGAATGTAAATAATCATTTGAGTACACAATACAACATTAGGTGTTAGGCCTATAGGATATTCAGACAATAAACAATTTTTGAAAATATTAAAGACAATGTTTTTTATTTTTAAATTATAATATAATAATTTCTAATCATTGTAATATTAGATTAAAATTTTTCTAATGCTATTAATTTTTATTAATTGAACTATAAATATTCTATGAGCTATACTATAACAATATACTACAGTAAGATATTGTATTTTTAAATAGGATGATAATGACACGACACCTCCGTTAACATTGTCGGAAGTGAAAGATGTAAAAAGCTAGGATCAGAATGAAATCAGACAATTTAGTAAGTACTTGTATCGTTGTGAATTGCCCAGGCTTTAACCATAATGATTTCGCGTCGAGATCGACCGGAGAGAACTACTAGTGGTTAGCAGTAGCCCCATCATGAAAAGGATAAATGGAAAAGGATGATTCATCATCCTTTTTCATCCTTTCCCCCCCGTGTAATTGTTTATTACGACTAACTGACAAAAAACTGAGGATATAACATCAGTTATAGAATTCTATAAAAGTGTATGCCCAACACGGTGTCGGTTAAATACAACATAGGTTTATTAGAGATAACTATAAACAATAAAAAGTTTTTCATTAATTAATTAATCGATCATATCCATCAACTTTTATCATCATAACACACATCAACATTGTATTATAAAATGATTCATACCGTATTAAATTATGTACCAAATTAGATAATGTGGCAACATTGTATAATATTGGATGTATAAATAATGGAGTTTATTGCCACCTTGCTAGCAAACGTTTGGTCGGCCTCTACGCGGTCTCCTAGAAACCACTGTGTTTAATTCCTAGCAAATATGCCAAGTTTTTTCGATGTCATTCTCATTCCACCATCTCTCATTGATGTCCTTCACTATGCCTTAGCGTTGTTTCCATTGAAAAAATAACACGTACTATAAAATGTGAATCATATCGTACCTAATTAGATAGTGTATTGTTTATTTGCACTACGTAGAATCTTGTATTACGTAAGTATTACATAACGTAGTAAATCGAATATTTCTTTTCTTTTCATATAGTCCTTTTGACTTCTTTTGTTTAATTTACGAATGAGAAAAACAAAAATATAACTATGCGAAACCAAAGCATTTTGTATATAAACTTTAAACATATTTTGATATATAATACATATAACGGGCCACTGGCCACACAATCGGTGCTACAAACAGTCCCCTTTGGCCGCTCACGTAATCCTAGAGTGCGCAGCAGTGGCCACACAAGGAACACAAATCCTCGGAACGGTGAGGTCGCTCCGCGAAGCCTGTGAAGTCTTCAGGAGTCTTCTGCGCTTGGGAAGAACTTGGTTGGCTACGTTAGTAGTCTCGGCTCGAAACGCACAAGGCCCCAATTAGGAGGCTAACTGCGGAAAATGGAGTCCACATTACATTACATATATACGAATACATACTATCGAAGACAGATAAATATCGAAGGGGGTATTTATTGTATATTTTACACATTGCGGTATACTGTCCTGTAGCATATATGTCTTTATTACAGATCCGAAAATTATCACTGGTTTTCGAATCGAACCCGATATCAATAAGGCAAGGAATGCAATTTTGTTAATCGCTAGACATTCTAAATTGTCATTCCTCTTTCTGCGCCAGTAAGATATTTCATATTCACATTTCAAGTCGATCACTTGACAAAGTAATACAGGTATTAGGTAAGGACCAGTAGTATTCAACTGTATATTATAGACATTACTAAAGATAACAGAGTATTATATCAAAAATAATTTTATTCACAGGACATTATAGTCGTTTATGAAAGTCAAGTTCTTTCAATTAATATTTTTATAATTCTGTCTATGGAATCAATTGAAAAAACTCAACTGAATTTCTGTTTTGTTTTTAAAGCAAGTTAGTTAATCTTGTTTAATTATATAGGTAAGGTGCATATTTAGGTGCATATGCATGCACCTAAATATGTAAAAAAGATTAAATTATTGTTTAATTAGACATATGTCTAACATCATAGAAGGTTAGTCTCTCAGCGAGAAGAATTGAATAGGCGTGGCAAGGTAAATGTTCTCATTAGCAGTGAGTGATATCTACCTACTTGTAATCAAGTATTATGTAAGCTTCTTGATATTTCTACGTCGAAGAATATCAAATATCTGCTATATGCTTAGGACAGAGATAACACATACATATACAGCATTATTACCGTTATACTTACATTTTTTTTTAATACACATTCAGTCACTTTTGTCAATCTTGCTATTCACATAAAATTATATAAAAGAGCAGCACGCAATTTTTTTGTCCATTCTTCTTGTGACGTAACAATTTAAGTGATGGTAAGTTGTAGCTGATGTATATTATATATAGGCGATATATAATTCATTTGTAGCACTAGGGAAATCACGTTATACTAATCATGTGTTGCTAGACTAAATGTCATGCCTCTTATCCTATATTGTACATACAGCCTTATGCTCTAATCGAAGTTATACCACAACATTTACTACCGAAACACATTTTACAAAGAAAGCTGCCTGATGGCTGATATAAGTGTCACTGAGGTACAAACACAGTTGACTTTTTATAAATTATTAAAACTGTTAATATATTTAAAATAATTCAGTATGTCAACAGAGCAAAGTCCTAAGTAGTTACATGTTAATAATTGCACATTACCGTACTTAGGGGGAAAAGTTTAGGCATTAGCTGTGATAGGTAAGTAATAAACAGATTATATAAGTTCGTAAACATTTATATTGAGATTGTCAGAACTACCATCTCAGGGTGAAGAGTTCAGGCGCGGTTACACGGATGTGAGTACTTTTTGATAACCGTTTGTAATCATATTGCGAGGTTTATATAAGACCGTAGTTTATACTTATTTCTAAACTTATTGTTTAGAAAGATAGATACTGTGCGCCTTTACTGATTTAGTCGGACTAGTAAAAATATATTAAATATCTTTAAAAGCTTGCATCATTGATTATATTGCTCATATAGCCTATTTCGTAGACGATAATGAAATGGCGATCCCGTCAGCGCATAGGTAAGGATATAGCTGAATATTTACGTGACATAAACTAACAATTGTCACTTATTATACTAGCTAGCTCGCCCCGGCTTCGCATGGGTCTACTATCGTTTGCAGATTCCCGTACTGTTTTTATATAACTACGAATGTATTTAGAACTACTAGTTTTTTAACTAGGTGAGTAATGTAAATTTTATGTAATTTATTTTACAGTTAAAAAAAGAAAGTTATATGGGATAAAAAATAAACGTAAACATAAAATAAAATAGATATATTTATTTATTAAATCAGAAGAATATATAAATATTTTCCAGTCCCAATATATAAAAATATTAATTGACACTATGAATATGCTATTTATGTGATGTAATGCCTTTATTAACATAATTTTACATTCTTTCTTTCACAGAATAAAAGTGGTAGGCCTCCTTTAATACTCTGTACAACATGCGAGGTAGGGTCCACAGTGGGTTGACGCTTAGACTCTGGTGCAGGCTTTACAGAGAACTGCGATAATATCGCAGCCAAACCAGCCAAAGATTGCATTAATCCGAGGCGGGCTCCTGTAAATAATGACATATAAATAACGCAGGGAATATCATGAATAATACTCTAGACTCAAACTGATAATACACTCAGTAATTTAGAAGATTATGCCAAAGATTTCCTGCCATAAAAATATCTATTCCTTTATCTACTTTTACAACTCATTTCATAATATTTCCAAAATGGGGCTTATTGATACAGCCATCGTAGTTCCAAATTGATGTTGCGTTTTATTCAAAATTTAGTGTTTTAATCAAATGTAATATATTAATCAGCTTTACAGATACAATGGTAAATTATATTTAATTTCATGATTGTAAATATCTATTATAATAATAAACTTTTGCATACCTTTTGATAATGTTAGAAATAAAAGACTCACCTATACAATTGCGAGGTCCATCGCCAAATGGAAGATAAATGCTTTTTTGAATTTCATTAAATTCATCAGGATGAAACCGTTCTGGTCTAAACTCTTGAGGATTATCCCAATATTGTGGATCAATATGAAAAGCTTGAATTGGAACTACAACACTCACTCCTTCATCAATAGTTAATATATCTCCTGGAAAGGTATATTTTCTTCTACATACTCTCGATAAATATCCAAGAGAAGGAAAAATTCTCATCGCTTCTTTAAATGACCACTCTAAATATGTCATTTCTTTAATAGCATCATAACTAAGCTTATTGTTGTATTTAGCGAGTACAGTGTCAATTTCTTTGTGTAGTTTTTCTTGTACTTCTGGATTATAAGCAAGTTGATGTAATGTATAACTTGTGGCTGAAGAAGACGTTTCAAAGCCCGCTGCGAAAAATACAAACACTTGTGCCGCTATAATTATATCGTCGAATTCTAGTTTGGCTTCTTTTGGTGTTCCGTCTTTATTAAAATTTTCAATTGATTCACCGATAACAGTACCTTGGTTTTTGCATTCTAATAACAAATCAATGAAATCATGTCTTCCGGAAGGTTTATAATTTCTTTTCCGTATAATTTCCTTTACCAATGTAGTCAATTCATTTTCGATTTTTCCCATTATTCTTAACTTTCGTGTAAGAGTTGGGAACATATCTTTCAATAATATAACAACACCATCTCGAAAACTGAATGTAAATATATTAACACCTAATTTTCTGAATGCAGAATCTTCGTCATTGAGTGAGTCTGCATCTAGGCCAAAACCACAAGCGCCAATAAAGTCAGTAGTATATCGAGCCATCAAATCGCGTGCATCAATTGCATGACCATTGACAGCAGCTTTTAGAGTTCGTGCTCGCAAATGCTCAGCACGTTCAACTATTAAAGGAAACATTGCTTTTAACTTACTACTGGTAAATGCTGGTGTTAGTCGTTGTCTTAATAATCGCCATAAGTCACCTTCTCCAAAAAATAAATTCATAAACATGGGCTCTAGTGATTTACCTGGTACAATTCCACGTTCATGAAAGTAAACGAAGTCGGAGATGATAACCTGCTTTACCATCTCTGGATCTCTGAGGACCAATGATGGAGCAGTCGATCGAAATGATCCAATAAATTTTTCGTTGGGATGCTCGAAATAAAAATTAGTTAAACTTGTGACAGCACTTTCGAGTAACAGGTACATTTTCGCAGCACATCCAAAAAATATAATTGGTTTCGCGTACACCACGCCTTTTTTTTTCCAGTAATCGAAATTCCTTACATTATATAAATACAAAAGCACAAGTAGCACCAAAATTATTGCTAAATAAATCATATTGCTATAAAACTTTTAGCGTACGTACTTATTATCAAATAACCGTGAGTACTGTATTACATTTTAATATTTTTTATAGATACAGTAAGGTACCAATCGTGTAATCATACATAACGATAGATAAGTTTATCGTATGTTTAATAATTATAATTTTATCTACTCGGTACTAACTTCACAGCTCTTATGGTTTGGTCTGCGATAATTTTGTTATAATATAAATAAAAAGCATTTCGTTCGTTTATATAATAGTAAATATATAATTATTTTATCTATATTTTTTTCCATAGTTTGTGTACAAGTTACAGTAACAGTAACAGTAACGTTACTAAGATGTCGTTAAATGTAAAGTTTAACCATAATTGCTGTTATTTTTTTCTGGCTTAGTGGCTAACATGAAAGGAGTTTGTCCTGGATATGGTAAGTTAGGTTGGATGGTAAGTTTTTAATGCCCGAATTAAAGATACAGATATACACACTTAAAAATAATTCATATATAAAGATAACACAATGACAAATTGTTTCAACAAATATAATAAATAATATTCGAAGTACACGAAGTACAGAAGAGAATTATTATTATTCTCTTTAAAATTGATGTATAATTATAATATGCTTAAGGTAATAAAAGCATAATAATAATGCAACTCTTAATTCTAATTATTACTTAATAAAAAGTAGTCCTATTGAAATTAAAATTTATTTGTCCCAACCAACCATCCACCAATCAACTTACCTACCTAAATAAGCACCTTTAACACCTGAAGAATACACAACATGTTTGTATTGCTTGACTAAGATAAGATAAATTTATAAAATTTTATAAATGCAGATTGCCTTAAAAAGTATATATTGTGATTTATGTTAGGTATATATAAGTCTATCAATCACGGTAGTTACGTTATCTTTCTTTTTACTTCGTATGAATCACTAATATACTCAAGTGTTGTTTACGGGGTTGGCCTGTGAGGTTACCTGATTAATTTCTATTCTGAATACGTTATATTTTTTTTATACCACGTATGTGGCAAACAAGCATACGGCCCATCTGATGGTAACTGTAGCCTATGGATGCCTAAAACGTGCAACGCGCACGTTTTAGGCATCCATAGGCTACAACCCACCCTTAATAAACCTTAATATTTGTAGAAAAGGAATATAATATAAAATCTATACCCTCACGACCGCTATCCCAGATGGAGTAGTTAGTAGTAGCAATATTGTCAACGATTAAATCGTGGTGAATTGTTTAAGTGAAATATTGTAATAGTACTACAACGTGGCAGGAGGCAAACCTTCTTTCGTTATTATATCCGTTTATGTATAAAATCATAGTAATAGGAAGATATCGTTGTTGACAATTGGATTACATGATCAATACGACAATGGACTCTATGGATTACTTCTCTTTTTGTTTGGTTGAATAGTGGATTTGCAAGCACAAAGACAGACAAAACAGCTAGTACAATCAAATCAGTTTATAACAAGTAAACTGATTTATATTAATTAACATGTCATGATCGTGGTAGTAAACTACATATCATAAAACTACAATCTTATCTCTTGACGAAATACGATAACAAATTTTTAAAGAGTATTTATAAAAAAAATATTGAAAAATAATATAGTATTCGCGTTTGTTTAATACAAATAGTGCCTCACAATATTTCTATAACAAAATGATCTTTATAGCAATAGTACTAGTATTACTTATTGCACTGTACTTATATAATGTGCGAAATTTCGATTACTGGGAAAAAAGAGGTATAGCATATGAAAAACCAATTCTTTTTTTTGGGTCCGTGTTAAAAACATATATGTTAAGGGAAAGTATGACAACTACTGCAAATCGAATATACGAAAAATACCCCAAAGAAAAACTTGTAGGAGCATTTCGATCAACAACACCAGTGTTGTTACTTAAAGACCCTGCAATGGTGAAGCAAGTAACCATCTCTGATTTCGTTTACTTTCATGAACGTGGAATTGTACCAGGAAAATCACTAGAACCCATGTTCAAGAATTTATTTTTTGGGGAAGGTGACTTATGGCGTTTATTAAGACAACGGCTAACACCATCATTTACTAGTGGTAAATTAAGAGCAATGTTTCCTTTAATCATTGAACGTGCTGAGCATTTACGAGCACGAGCTCTAAAAGCTGCAGTCAATGGCAGTACAATGGATGCACGTGATTTAATGGCCCGATATACTACAGATTTCATTGGTGCTTGTGGATTCGGCCTAGAAGCCGACTCTCTCAATGACGACGATGCTGCATTCCGACAGTTAGGTATTAAAATATTTACATTCGGTATTCCAGATGCTATAGTCGTAGTGCTTAAAGACATGTTTCCCGTTTTGGCACGAAATTTGAAAATAATGGGAAAAGTAGAAAAAGAATTAACTATTCTGGTAAAGGAAATTTTAAGAAAAAGAAATAATAAACCTTCTGGAAGACATGATTTCATTGATTTGTTGTTAGAATGCAAAAATCAAGGCACTGTTTTGGGAGAATCAATTGAAAACTTCAATGACGATGGAACTCCAAAGGAAGCTAAATTAGAATTCGACGATGTAATTATAGCGGCCCAGGTATTTGTATTTTTCGCAGCGGGTTTCGAAACTTCTTCATCTGCATCAAGTTTCACACTACATCAACTTGCTTATAATCCAGAAGTACAAAAGAAAGTACATAAAGAAATTGATACTGTACTCGCTAAATACGACAATAAGCTTAGTTATGATGCTATTAAAGAACTCACATATTTAGAGTGGACATTTAAAGAAGCAATGAGGATTTTTCCTTCACTCGGATTTTTAGCTAGAATATGTAGACGAAAGTACACTTTTCCAGATAGTGATTTAAGTATTGATGAAGGTGTAAATGTCATAATTCCAATACAAGCTTTTCATAATGACCCTCAGTATTGGAATAATCCTGAAGAGTTTCGACCAGAACGGTTTCATCCTGATGAATTCAATGAAATTCAGAAAAGCATTTATCTTCCATTTGGCGATGGGCCACGCAATTGTATAGGTAAGTCTTACAACCATTTTTTGTTTTTGTTTTATGCGTCAGTCCGTCAGCAAGTCTGTAACTTTATATGTTATTGAGAAGTCTAGAAATAATGTAAATATGTAATTGAACCTAATTGATATTGAATTCGTTTAATTGGGTTTGATTATATGTACTAATGCAATTTGATCTGGACCTGTCAAAGCATGAAAAAATAACTCTAGATTAAGAAAGGATAGATAGGTTTTGCAACTTTATTGCTACTTAGTGAAATACATAAATGTTTTAATGTATAGTATTTTACTAAATATCCAGCACATTATAAATATAGGTTTTTGGATCGTTGGTGATCATAGCCAGTACTACCCTGTTAAATATAAATGTGATGTTTGAACATACATCTTTTATCTTTAAATAATTCGTGGCCCCATTAACCCTACAGACATCAATGATAACATCTTACAAGTACGCATTTTATAGATTCTGGTAATCATCACATATCGTCAGAATGTATTAGACGCGAATGTATCTAACAGACAACATAGCTACAAATCTACGGCCATAAATCTGACATAGAAGAAGTAGATAGACATACAATCTCTGCTATCATTCAAACATTAGCATATTATTATTTAAAATATACTCGTACTTTAAAATATACTTTACATGTAATAGACAATAAATATATATTACCTAGTACCTATGTTAATTTTAAAATATAAAATTAAAATATCTTTAAATAACAAGTATTATCAATAGGTAATTAGTAATTTAGCTTCAGAACTTAGTTTTTTCACCCAATCTATCTATACGAAATAAATTTGTATTGTCGTAATATAAAATATTAGAATAGGTAATTGTATTATTCTATTATAATTGTAGAAAGTATAATGTAATTATGTTGTTATTTTACACTTATAGAGTATTGTAAAAAACAATAAAAAAATTATATGATTACAAAATATTTTTTAGATAGAGAGAATTATTACTCATAAATTGAATGGTGAGATATGACAGTGAAATTACTAGGAAACTACACTACACAGAAATTGCAACGCATGAGAAATACGACTCGAAGTATTGATGTATATAGGGCACGAGTGCGCTTTCCATCAGATGGGCTGTGCAGTTACACATCAATCCGCTCTAATTAAGTATGTTATATTATGTCTCATTAAACTATTACTATTTTATTTCCAGGTGCCCGTCTCGGTTTGATGCAATCTTTAGCTGGATTGACTGCGATACTGTCTAAATTTTCAGTAGGGCCTGCACCGGAAACTCAACGGTATCCTTCTGTGGACCCTACCTCACATGTGGTACAAAGTATAATAGGCGGAATACCTCTCTTGTTCAATGTGAGGAAAGATGTAAAATTAAGTTGATATGTAAACTACTTACTTATTGTATATTTGTATTATTTTAAAACGATTAAAGTTAATGTACTAGAACATCACTTTGCCAGTGAATGGCAATTTGCTTGCTTGCTTATATACAACGGTGAATGTCCAATAAGTATTAACTATAACTTTTAAGCATTAAAGTAAATTTTAATAATATGTAATATATACTTTAATAATTAATAAAATAAACAATAATGGTTCGTAAAATATTGTAGTAATTTTCAAGGTAGTTTTACTGACTAGTATGGATAATAACAGCAGTGTGTCTGTAAGAAGAAATTGTACATAGTAGGTTTAGTTATGAGTAATAAAAAAAAACTTAATTGATATAGATAAACACTTACGATAAGTGAAATTTTACATTAATTTTCAAGGTAGTTCGAGTAAACAATAAAACATTAACTTCAGTGTGTCTTTTAAGAAGATATTGTACATAGTAGGTATAGTTATGAGAATAATAACAGATAAGTACTACAATCTAAGATTTTCTTCCTATATAGAGGAAAGTTTTATGTAAAGTTTATGATCTCGGCTCTAATTTAGGGTCAATACCAAATAATAATAACAAATAATATGCAATTACATCATTGTCACCTCTTACGATTACATATTGTTAGTTCATAGTGTCATATAGAGTGCTTCGCGGATTACAATAATTATTTATTTAAGAATATTTAATGTATTTTATTTATATAAAGAAAGATACTAGCGGACCAAAATTTGTTTTGCCATGTACATTATTTCTGGTTATTGCCACCCTTATCGACTAGAGTTTAAAAATATCCGTTTCGTAGGAGTTCGATAACAAACCCTGGGGTATAAGATTTTACATGTTAGATAAAAACGATTCAATTAAATTTAAGAGTTTCCGAAATTTGGTATTAACAAAACAACACCGATTTTGTTTCATTCTTCCTACTTTTATCTCTGAGATACTATTTGTATATTTCACTATTTTTATTTTGCAATGACTGCAAATGACCATAGAGACGAAATTAAAATATAGATTTTTATTTGTTTAAAAGATTAAAATTATTATACCGTATCATATTTACATCTATAAAGTATTATGATTTTTTTAAATAATTATTTATTATTATTTATTAAATTTAATAGAAAATAAATTTTTACCTAATGTATTGTCATTTTTATTATTTTACCTTATTTCAAAAACTGTCAACAGTTGATTCTCACTCATCAAATATGTCAGCCATTAATTTCTACTTATATCACAGATAACATAATATTACATACAGATACCCCATTACAAGAAAATATTTATTCTTCACTATTTTATTTTGCACCGTATAGATGTCGCTAGAATGAAGCAGTTCGGATTACTAGTGGGTGCTTAGTAACAAAGCATGAAAATAGATTAAAATATGACATCTGTTTTGCAAAGATATTTATATTAGATATGTAGGTAACTGTATCGTGTACCTCATTAGGGACGATTCAAGATTATGTAAATGTGTAGGTATTATCGTTAGCCGACACTCTGCGCTTATGTCAATGTTTTGTGTTATGGTTTATTTTACATTCCATGCCTATTTTTTTTGATATGTTGTAACGCGTCTGCGCTATACGTATAGCCTGATTTTGATATCGTACGTATTTTTTATTTCAATCGTTATATGTATTATTTTTATTTATGGTATATTTATTATTACGATGTACCCCTCTTTTACCTAATAGAATTCCGCTATATCTTATATATAAATTTTGTATCACAGTGTTAGTTGCCATATTTCTCCCACATTTTGATGAAATTTGATATGTATACTTCCCAGGTCTGAGGTAGGGTTGTTATCTATTTTTTATACCCCTAAGTCATAGGGGTGGCCTACCCCGAAAAAATATTTTTTTGTATTATGGACAATTTTTTATTTATTTATAATGTGTTACATTGAAAATACATACACGCCTTTTATTTTTAATAGCGATATTCTTACAAATATTATAAATGTAACTGTCATTTTTGTTATTTTCACGCCAAAACTGAACTGATTATTTGAAATTTCAGATAATGTAGACCCTGAGAAAGGCTACTTTTTAATGCGAAAAAGTATTGAAAGGGGAAATGAAAGGCTATATGAGGATATCGTAATTTTTAAAGTCAGATCTTGTAAGATTAAGTGAACAGGGTCGGTCTAGGTTTTTCATTATTAGAAATGTGTAACGGGGTAACACGTTATTTAGTGCGAAATTGTGTATATTACAATAAAATTTAACGAGAAAATATTATAATGATGTCACTGGGACACTCATTGCCTTACTACTATATCGTCCGTTAGTCGCGAATAGATGAAGTCTCACGGCGCCGCAGCGAAAGTACTTACTATACATACGAAGTATACATATGGGTATTACAAATGTTTTTATTACTAGTAATATTACTCTGTTATCTAAGCAAGTAATGTGTGCTTATTTTGAACTTGATAACATTCTGAATTACTCGTATATCTTTATTATACCTATATTGTTAGTGAGGGATAAAGTTGATGAACAAAAATAAAACAATATTCGTATTAAAAATATATTCATCTAATATTTTTGGCATTATTTTTAAGTTTCTTCCAAATATAAGGGGTCTGACATGGGGTGTTATGTACCTACATTAAAAAATACTTTTTGAAATGTATGAAAGAAACGTATTGTATGAAATTTTTGAAATGTGTGAAATGTATGCACCTACATTAAAAGATAATTTTTGAAATGTATGAAAGAAATGTATTGTATGAAATTTTTGAAATGTATGAAATGTAAGGACCTACATTAAAAGATAATTTTTGACATGTATGAAATGTATGAAAGAAATGTATGTACCTACATAAAAAGTTCATTTTTGAAATGTATGAAATGTATGAAAGAAATGTATGTACCTACATTAAAATATAATTTTTGAAATGTATGAGATGTATGAAAACAATGTATGTACCTACATAAAAAGTTCATTTTTGAAATGTATGAAATGTATGAAAGAAATGTATGTACCTACATTAAAAGATAATTTTTGACATGTATGAAATGTATGAAAGAAATGTATGTACCTACATTAAAAGATAATTTTTGACATGTATGAAATGTATGAAAGAAATGTATGTACCTACATTAAAATATAATTTTTGAAATGTATGAAAGTAATGTATGTACCTACATTAAAATATAATTTTTGAAATGTATGAGATGTATGAAAGAAATGTATCTACCTACATAAAAAAAAAAGTTCATTTTTGAAATGTATGAAAGAAATGTATGAGATGTATGAAAAAATGTATGTATCTACATAAAAAGTTCATTTTTGAAATGTATGAAATGTATGAAAGAAATTGTACATTAAAAGATAATTTTTGACATTTGAAATGTGAAAGAAATGTTTGTTACATTAAAATATAATGTTTGAAATGTATCCGTACAATAACAATACACGTTAAACATCACCACAGAGTCATACGCAAGTTAAAAACAAACTGCTATGATATTAATGAGAAAGGAAAATAAACTTTATGGTATTCGAGTTAGGGTCGAGTTCTCTCTTTTTTTTAAAACTATTTTAATCTTACCAGTTGCCAGTATTCGAAGACAGCTACGATTCGTACTCGATATTTTAAATTATTATGTAATCGATTTTTCAGTACAAATGTAAATAACCAACGACACTAATAATGTACTACTATATTCCGTTCTTTGAAACGGAATACTGCTATACTTAATACAAAATAATGAAAATTTACTGTTCACAACGACTCATTAAAAGCATCATCGAATAATGCGCTGTAATAAAATCCTGTTATCGATTATTAAAAAAATCGATAATACATGTATTTATTTTTAATATGACAACACTTCATACATAAGTATTATTGGAAATAGTATTATTTGCTTGTTCGGCTATTTTTAATTTACTTAAACTTTTTTTATATGTTTAATTTACAATAATAATATATTAAGTGCTTATTATTGGAAAATATAAAAAAGACATTTAATTAGGCCGATACAAATGACAACAATGCCATCTATGAAAGCATTTTGAAAACATTGAGCCCCGTATTAGCACTGATTAAAGTGTAATTAAGTACTGGAAAATAACAAAATGAGTAAATATATGAAAATTACTTTTCTAAACGCATTATTTCATTTTAACATGTATATATATTTTTTTAAAAATGGATTAAACTATTTTGAAAACACAGTTTTGTTTTTTAAAACGTTTGCAAAACTATGAAGAATTCCATCGATACCAATCACGCCATCTATATGCAACTTTTAGCAATAATAATGGCTATTTCCTCATTGAGTGCCACTGCTTATATATAAATGATGACAATATGGCAGCTGGTTAGCCCCCGCAGGAGCATGTTTTGAATTAGTAATAACAATAAGAATTCACACGCCGACAATTAATCTCATCCTAGCATAGCATGTGTCACGAATAATAAACAAGTGATAAAAATATTTAAATATCATTTTTGTAAATACATGAGTATGATTGTTTGTATTTATTTGAGTGTTTTCTATGTTTATTATCTACACAGAAAACACCCAGGATGATACAAACAATCATACTCATCGAATTCAAATGTTTGTGTCGTGCAAAGTAACAAACCCGCAATAAATAAAGTAAGCGGGTGTGCTAAACCGCTGAACTACCAATGCTGTTAAATCAATGAATACTTATAGATTTAATTTAAAAAAAAAATATCCGTTCGGAGGCTTATATTTAACTAGATATTGAAATTGCCTTAAAATTATTTACTGTAGTAGTCTACTGCGCTGTTTATATGCAACAGATTGGGCGAGTTAAAAACAAAAAAATAGTACCATATAATTGGTTGTCAAAGGCATTGTTGACCATCGATGATGTAGTTTTTCTATTACCCGGCACTGAGACTCAATCAGAAATATAAGTTGATGCAAAAAGTGTTTCAGGACTTGTTATTTTAAACTGTATATACTAGTAAAATATGTATTTAAAAATAATCAAATCCATTATTTGTTACTAATAAAAACATACTATAAAAAACAGTTTACGTATAAATTTTTGGCTAAAACCATTTGACCAAATAAAGTTGTAAAAAATAACTATAACATAGTAATATAGGAGACACCTAATTAATAGAGAATTAATTCATTATTAATTTATATTACTACACAAAAACTGTTAAAGTAAAAATGATGCCATTATCTCTTATTGAAATGAGATAAGTGTGTGCCAGTATTTATAAAAACAAATATCCCGAAGCAACGCAGTAATAAAGTTTGTTCGCTCCAATTAATATATCCCGTAGTAGCTTACAACAATATGATTTATTTAGCGATAGTACTAATAGTACTTGTGGCATTATATCTATATAATGTGCGAAACTTTGATTACTGGGAAAAACGTGGCATAAAATATGAAAAACCAATTCTCTTTTTCGGGTCGGTCCTTAAGACGTATTTGTTACAAGAAAGTATGACGCTTACTGTAAATAGAATTTACAAAAAATACCACAAAGAAAAACTTGTAGGGGCATTTCGATCAACAACTCCAGTGCTGTTACTTAAAGACCCTGCAATGGTGAAGCAAGTAATCATCTCTGATTTCGTTTACTTTCATGAACGTGGAATTGTACCAGGCAAATCACTAGAACCCATGTTCAAGAATTTGTTTTTTGGAGAAGGTGATTTATGGCGGTTATTGAGACAACGGCTAACACCATCATTTACTAGTGGTAAATTAAGAGCAATGTTTCCTTTAATCATTGAACGTGCTGAGCATTTACGAGCACGAGCTCTAAAAGCTGCAGTCAATGGCAGTACTATGGATGCACGTGATCTAATGGCCCGATATACTACTGACTTTATCGGTGCTTGTGGTTTTGGTCTAGAAGCCGACTCACTCAATGATGACGACGCTGCATTCCGACAGTTAGGTATTAAAATATTTACATTTGGTATTCCAGATGCTATAATTGTATTATTAAAAGACATGTTTCCAGTTTTGTCACGAAATTTAAAAATAATGGGAAAAGTAGAAAAAGAGTTGACGATTTTGGTAAAGGAAATATTAAGAAAAAGAAATAACAAACCTTCTGGAAGACATGATTTCATTGATTTGTTGTTAGAATGCAAGAAAGAAGGCACTGTTATTGGACAATCAATTGAAAAATTTAATTCTGATGGATCTCCAAAAGAGGCTAAATTAGAGTTTGATGATATAATTATAGCGGCCCAAGTGTTTGTATTTTTCGCAGCGGGTTTTGAAACCTCTTCATCTGCCTCAAGTTTCACATTACATCAACTTGCTTATAATCCAGAAGTACAAAAGAAAGTGCATAAAGAAATTGATACTGTACTCGCTAAATACGATAATAAGCTCAGTTATGATGCTATTAAAGAAATGACCTATTTAGAGTGGACATTTAAGGAAGCAATGCGAATTTTTCCTTCACTGGGATTTTTGGCTAGAACGTGCAGAAAACAATATTCTTTTCCAAACAGTGATTTAACAATCGACGAAGGAGTAAATGTCATAATTCCTGTTCAAGCTTTCCATAATGATCCCAAGTATTGGGATGAACCTCAAGAATTTCGACCTGAACGATTCCATCCTGATGAATTTAAAGAAACTCAGAAAAGCGTATATCTTCCATTTGGTGATGGGCCTCGTAATTGTATAGGTAAGTGTTTTAATATTTTTATACAATTCTAAATAACTTATGTACTAAACTACTTAAATAACCTGATAAAACTTATCAGGTTATAATTCGGATGCAAATTATTTAAACCATTCATGACGCATAATTATTATTTAATATTTATCGAATTGTTTTGACTGTTAAAATATAATGTTTTTACTATAGAACTGATCTGATTGTGGAAATAAAAGTCAGCTATATGTTTTGTAATCGACATACATGCATTTATGTTACATTTTAAGAACTTCAGTAACATGAATCGATATGTCATGCACGAGACCTTAAATTGTGTTAAGTTTAAGGGCACATCTATACTCACGCATAAACTAGTTATTAAAACTTTTAGTTACTAGTTATTTTAAACATCTCATATATGTATATTAACCATACTTATCATCATTACATAGTATAAAACAAAGTCGCTGTCGCTGTTTGTCCCTATGTATTCTTAAATCTTTAAAACAACGTAACGGATTTTGAAGCGGTTTTTTTATTAGATAGAGTGATTCAAGAGGAAACCAGCCCGAGTAGCTAGATGTATATAAATTTAATAAATTACATAATAATGTGGGATGTTTACAATTAGTAAACGGCTATATTATATTATTATTACTACTATACTATTTATTATTATTTTACATTACCATAGATCATATAGTCTCAAAGCGTCTACTTTATCTGTAATAATCATAAAAAAGTTTATGAAAATAAAAAAATAGTAAATGATGTATCGATTACCATACTGGATGGATGCGTACACGCTTCGCAATTGTTACGTGTTTGCTAGATAACGTTTTCAACTCTTGTTTAATAACGTCGTAAAATAATTTTATCAGACATCTATCATCTTGTAAGTATCGACTGCCTAACTAATAACATTAAAAGTTTATATTACAGTCTGTCAATATATTTCAGACATACATAAAATAAATTTGTGGGTCGTGCTCCATCCGCTCTTTTGGCATATCCTGACATTCCTTCTGTACTACGTATTGCATAAAACTATGAAAGTATCAGATGAACGAAAGTGAACGAAATGTCTGTTTGGTAATTGCAAATAATGCTATTTTTTTATTTATATATTTTTCTAAGATAATAATCAGAAATAAAGAATTTAAATGAACTAATGTCATAAATTTATGACATCAGTACATGGATCTATTTGAACAGTAGTTACTAAATCATGATATACTATACATACATAGAGAGACCATTGTCTATGACTTACCCAGCGAAGTAGGGAGATTAGTGCAATTAGTACATATGCGTACACAATAATTACTATTTATTATGTGTCTCTGGGTAAATCAACTTATTATTTTATTTCCAGGTGCCCGTCTTGGTTTGATGCAATCTTTAGCTGGTTTGTCTGCAATACTATCTCGGTTCTCAGTAGCGCCTGCACCAGAGACTAAACGGTACCCTACAGTGGACCCAACCTCACATGTTGTACAAAGTATTACAGGAGGAATACCTCTGTTATTCAATGTGAGAAAAGATGTAGCATGTTGATCAATCAAATAATTATTTATATTACCGTGAGTATACAATCTATTAGGTAATATATAGACATAATGAGTGTGTTATATGATGTAAGATTTTTAAGTTTATTATTTATTTAAAAGATACATACATTCGATCACATATTTGCCTGAATTTACTAATAGTTTGGTAGTTTGCCCAGTGGAATTATGTAACAATGTGTGTGCGTTACTCTTGTGGTATCAGGTTATTAATATAAGTAATACTTTATTAAATTATGAAATGGCACTTCTTTGTAGACTACTGTATAGAATAAGTTATTTATTAAATTGCCAATAAAAATGATTTGTATTTCTATATAATAAAAATTTTATTAAGACAAATTGTTTTTATCGTCGTCATTGATGTTTGTTATGGCAGTAATATAGAGTCAAAGGTAAGAAAGTATTATTTTGTAAATGTTGTAGATACTAATGTCATCTTGTTACCTCTATTTACATTTCTTCCTGTACATTAAAATAAAATATTGGGGTTTTTGTTTATTATATAAATATTAGAGTTAAATTTTAATGCTACGATAACTGAAATTTAACTTTAATACATCTGAAAATTTTGTAATTTTGAGTATATTAAGTAACTAACAGTACTTATAATGTTATAGACTACCGATATAGCTAGTGCCAATCAGTTTCCAAAGATAGGTCGAGAAATTCTTTGCACATTTGTAAATTCACCGAGATATATAATAGTACGGAATATGATAAATTATTATCTTCATTTGTTATTGTTACCAGCAAAGAACCGTTGATCTCATTTAATAGAAACACTCGAACATTTCGTATACATTATGTAACTGAAGAAATCACAACTTCACATGAATAATGGTTTTAAACTTGATATTGAATGGCCGGAAATCCTTATATTATATATTGTTTTTGGTGACTCAATAAAATTATCCCAAAAAATAGCATTTATTATGTACCACATACTAAATGTATCTCAAATTTCATTTAACTAATACTTTATTTATCGAGCAACAGGAATATCTAATAAGTGATCAAAACTTAAATAAAACGAAAACATTCGAAAATCTCACTGCAACGGAAAATAAATTTATAAGTTGAATGTCGCAGGAAACGTCTAGTTAACCAATATAATTAAGTCTCATGTCTTAATAGTAGATAAAAACTTGTACGATAAACTCAGAAAAAACTATATATTTATCAATTGTTGAAGTACGATAAGAAAATTGGTAACAGTATTTATAAATATAAATATCCAGAAGCAGCGCAGTGATTACATTTATTTGCTACAATTAGTATATCGCGCTTTAACTTATTACAAAATGATTTTCTTAGCAATAGTTGTAGTATTACTTATTGCACTGTATTTATACAATGTAAGAAATTTTGATTATTGGGAAAAAAGAGGTATAGCATATGAAAAACCAGTGGTATTTTTCGGATCTGTTATAAAGACGTATACGCTACAGGAAAGTATGACTACCACAATAAATAGAATATACGATAAATACCCAAAAGAGAAACTGGTAGGCGCCTTTAGAACAACTACTCCTATTCTAGTGATTAAAGATCCTGCGATGGTAAAGCAAGTAATCATCTCTGACTTCATTTACTTTCATGAACGTGGAATTGTACCAGGTAAATCTCTAGAACCCATGTTCAAGAATTTATTTTTCGGAGAGGGTGATTTGTGGCGATTACTGAGACAACGACTGACACCAGCATTTACCAGTGGTAAATTAAGAGCAATGTTTCCCTTAATAATTGAACGTGCTGAGCATTTACGTGCTCGAGCTTTAAAGGCAGCAGTCAACGGCAGTACAATGGATGCACGAGATTTAATGGCAAGATATACTACTGATTTCATCGGTGCTTGTGGATTCGGTCTAGAAGCGGACTCACTCAATGACGAAGATGCTGCATTCCGGCAGCTAGGTATTAAAATATTCACATTCGATATTCAAGATGCTTTAGTTGTACTATTAAAAGATATGTTTCCGGTTATGGCAAGAAACTTGAGAATAATGGGGAAAGTTGAAAATGAATTAACCCTTCTTGTAAAAGAGATTCTAAGAAAAAGAAACTACAAACCTTCTGGACGACATGACTTCATCGATTTGTTGTTAGAATGCAAAAACCAAGGAACCGTTATTGGTCAGTCAATAGAAAAATTTAATGACGATGGAACTCCTAAAGAGGCTAAATTAGAATTCGACGAAGTAATTATAGCCGCCCAAGTATTTGTATTTTTTGCAGCTGGTTTTGAAACATCTTCTTCTGCAACGAGTTTTACATTACACCAACTTGCTTACAATCAAGAAGTACAAAAAAAAGTACACAAGGAGATTGATACTATATTAGCTAAATATAACAACAAGCTCAGTTATGATGCTATTAAAGAAATGACATATTTAACGTGGACCTTTAAGGAAGCAATGAGAATTTTTCCTTCACTAGGATTTTTAGCTAGAACATGCCGAAAAAAATACACATTCCCGGACAGTGACTTAACCATTGACGAAGGAGTAAACATCATAATACCACTTCAATCCTTTCATAATGATCCTGCGTATTGGAATAATCCTGAAGAATTCCGACCTGAAAGATTTCATCCTGATGAATTTAATGAGACTCAAAAAAGTGTTTATCTTCCATTTGGTGACGGCCCTCGCAATTGTATAGGTAAGTTATACGTTTTATAGTTTTTAATTTATTGTTTTATACGTAAAATCGTAATAATATCAACAGTAATTTTAGAAAAATAATAATATCATTATACCATAACATACTATTAAATTCGTAACGCTATCTTTCAACCAGTAGAAAGTTTTGACTAGTAATATGTTTAAACCACGGTATTTTTCATAAATGGCTGACTTGTATTATGACTACTTCATAAGTCACACTTGTGAACAAGTTCGGCTTACTTTAACCAATTGCAATAATCTCCAAGAAACTCTTAATTAACTACAGAAGATTAATGGTAATATGTGAATTTGTAATCACTTTTTTATCTCGAAGATTAAATAGATAGGTAAATGTCATATTTTCAAATAATGTTACCAGCTGTAGTGGTGTAGTGCTGTGCCTTCAGTCATTACCGATAAAGGGTTCGTTGAATCGTAACTTTTTATTTTAGACGATTAGTTTTAAAGTTTTTTATGAAGTTAATAAAATTCACCTACACACCAGTTTTCCATTACTCTCTTTCAATTAAAGAATATAAAAATACATTTTTGTGGTTTCTCTGCATATAGTATAATATTAAGTATCAAACTACAAACCAACAATTTTTTATTTCAGTCAACTAAACATTTTTAATAAGTGTATTATTATAAAACACGATATCGTACAAACGTATCTTTTTATGAGACAACTAATTCTTCTATTTTATATCTAATGTATATGTAAATATAAAAACTACAGTCATGTTATAACCCCTCATTTATACTAATACTATATTTATTATGTGTTTAAAACCTATTACATTTTAATTAAACCCACATATTATCTATGAATAACGTATAAAAATCGTTAATTAATATTATTTTCGATAGTAGCACAACACTATTTAAGAATCACAAAAACCTGGCAACATAGTTAAAATCAATTACATCTCATAGATAACAAACATACTAAATAGCTGTTACTTGATTATTTTCAACTGTTACATCAGGTGCATCGTTTATTATTAGTTTTTAATTGTGATCGTCGGACTATTTACCGCTCTACCATATATTACTATTAATCTCAATAAAATATTGTGGTTAAGTATAGAATACGTAATTAACACAATATTTAAGTAGTGAAGAGTTTTTAATTGGGCGATAATTATAGTAAAGTTACACAATATTTTGGAATGTTCTGATTAAAATTAATAATTGAAAACTACTAATATTTACTTTGCCATCTGTTAACTTTAACTTATTTAAAAAATAAGTGAAGTAACTTAATTTTGATCACGAGTGAAAGATATATATGTATATGTATATACCTACATATGTACGTTTCGAGCATAATATATTAAATCGTATAGAATTGTTTAAAGTTAACAATCAAAACATAATCGCTTCACACAAAGTAGCACCATTTATTTTAAACAAATTGTGTATGGAGAGCGAAAATAACTTTCATATATATATAGTAATTAAGAATTATTATTACATATTAGCCTACTAAAAACATTTTTATGAGCAAAGCTCTGTTTATGAGTAAAGTGTATACTGAATTTGTTTTTTTTTTTCAGGTGCCCGTCTCGGTCTAATGCAATCTTTAGCTGGTTTGACTGCCATTCTATCTCAGTTCTCTGTAGAACCTGCACCAGAGACTAAACGTTACCCCACTATAGACCCTACCTCGCACGTGGTACAAAGTATTTCAGGAGGTTTACCGCTCTTATTCAATGTCAGAAAAGATGTAAAAGTATGCTGATATGTCTATTATAAAGTTCTGTATCAATTCATTGTGGAATCTTATGCGAAAATAGTACCTGGCAGTTTCATCTGCGAACTCGACGATTGATTGTGAATAATATTTCATTTATACAAAAGATGAGTTTGATTAAAATACATCTATTTAAAAATAAGTATGTTTAATTTAATTTCAATCATTAATTAAATGTAGTATATAAATTATCAAGACTATTCATGGATCTCTACTACGAGAGAATTTGGAGAAAATCATCTACACAAATTTTACTCTGTGTCATAATTTCTGAGATAGGCAATATAATGCAGACTACGACTACAATTCGTGTACAGAGGATTTTTAAGGCACTGGGTCCCATATAGATAATATCACCCACATAGGACCCAGAGGTCTAAGACATAGTTATACTCAAACAGACAGACAGACATGGACAGACTTGGACAGATTCTGCAAAGTAAATTATGTTATACGTAATTTACTTTGTAGAATCTATATTAGTAATATTAAGAAAATCGTTAATTTTACGTATCGATGTACCCATCTTATTTAATTTTTAGAAACCTCACACTTCGATACTTTTTAGTGAGTCTTAATAAAAGTCTCGAGGTCATGGCGGATTTTTTTATAGCCAATAATGGAATTATGGTTCCGCCTGAACTAATTGTATACGCTGGTACACCACCAGAGTATATCATGTTGCCCCACCAATCTGTCGTGGTTCAATGCTAACAATGGGGCTTTCAGTTTTTATTACTAACAACGTCGACAATGCCAAATGAGTAACTTCTGTCTACATCATCTGGGATATCTGGCGTAATGGTACAAATACAAATTAAGTCACATATATTATTTCTACTTAGCAATAGTTTCAAAGAAAAAATGTTGCGTATATGATGTAGATAAATGTATTTATACATTATTTACGTAGCATAATTATGTATGACAACGGTCAAGTGTTTCGCATATCGATGGTTCTGTATTATATATTTCCAACATATTATATACTACCATATACACATACTTCGTAAACTTCTATTTCTATTCATTTTCACTGTTATTCAAGGTAAGTTTTAAGCAAATGTGATTCCACGTCTATTCTAACTGGTTGCAAAAATAAATTGAGTACAGTCAACTGCGTAGCTACCTCTACCTCACTTATTTCAGACAACCGCAAAGTAGCTTCTTTGTAAGCAGTGTTTAGATTGAAGGATGAGATATGGTAATGAATCACAGGTTACAGGGGCATATCTTAATCCTACGGAATGACGCATCATATTGTGACATCACTATTCTGTACCTCTTCAAACAAATATTTGTAGACGGCGATTGCAACTTACTATTAGTTAGGTGGGAGGTTAGCTTATTTGCTTTAAGAGTAACATAAAAAAGCGTTTGTATTGTTTGTACTATACAGAGTTGTAGAAACTTATCATTTTCTAACAGAAAGGTAGACAGACAGAGTATGTGACTGAGTCTATTACAGATTTCCTTAGTTTGATACGAATCACTAAAATTGATAATTACCACCAAACAAAGTCTAGAGATAAAAGAAGCTTGGTGTCAAAATTCAGTTGATAAGATGCACGATATGTGACGTAATATATTTATGTTTATAATAATATGAGTTGGTCAGAAATGTGACTGTGCAAATGCTCAAAGTCAGTTTATTCTTATATAACGGCATCGATATTTAGCAATAATATTGATAAGCTGGATTATTTTGTATTAAATTTTTTTGCATTGTATGTTCCTGCTATTTATCTTTACCTATCTTAATAATCAGTTAATTCTTTTTACTAAACTTTCCACAGCAACAGATATATAAAAAAATATTTTAATTTTAGTATGTTTGTTTAAAATAGTCCACAATGTTTTGCAATAAGAATTACTTGAACGATTTTAATTTACTTTTCACTTATTGATAGCTGAATTATGAGATACAAATAGTTTTGTTAATAGTTTATATATACTTGTTTATTAGTAAACAGTTTTATCATTCCATTTTCATGAATAAAAATAAAAGTGAAACCAAAAAATAATTTGACTTGAAAATATTATTTCAAATTAGTATAAATTACGGATTCACTGACCGATATTTAAAGCAGGATATCATTTTCTTAATATTGATAACATGAAGAGATTATATACAATTAGGTTTGCATAAAGCAAGAGATTTAACAATTGCTCATATTACCTATCTACCTACTACCTAAAGTTATATAGATATTAAAATCTTTTGAAGTATATTGTTCCACTACTACTCACTAACTATCGGGAGAGATCTAATTATAATAACAGGAAATTTGATAAATAGTACTTGCATTTATAACAATTATTATATTATATTTATATAGCGTTTTCTCTACACTTACTTTTGTTCATAGTAGGAGTACTTAGGAGGAGACTAGGATAACACTATTTCTTACCTCTCATATACTTAAATCAGGTCAATAAACTAATCTCTTAGCAATAATATACCCAAGGACTGCAAAACTTTAAAAAGTAATCCCATAACTCATTCAAACGTTGCACGATTTGCACGTTAAATGTCGCAGGAAATATTTAGTTAATCAACATAATTATGAATCATGAGTTATTCACAAATAAAACTATAATTGTATCAACTGTTAAGATACGATAAGAAAATTGGTAATAGTATTTATAAATACGAATATCAAGAAGCAACGCAGTGATTATATTTATTTGCTATAATTGACACATCTTGTTATAACTACTAACAAAATGATTTTATTAGCAATAGTTGTAGTATTACTTATTACACTGTATCTATACAATGTAAGAAATTATGATTACTGGGAAAAAAGAGGTATAAAATACGTAAAACCAGTGATAATTTTCGGATCTGTAGTAAAGACATATATGCTACAGGAAAGTATGACTACCGCAATGTGCAAAATATACAATAACTACCCCAAAGAGAAACTGGTAGGGGCATTTAGAACAACAACTCCAGTTTTGATAATTAGAGATCCTGCGATAGTGAAAAATGTTATAATCTCCGACTTCGTTTACTTTCATGAACGTGGAATCATACCAGGTAAATCACTAGAACCCATGTTTAAAAATTTGTTCTTCGGAGAAGGTGACTTGTGGCGCTTACTAAGACAACGACTAACACCCGCATTTACCAGTGGTAAATTACGAGCAATGTTTCCCTTAATTGTTGAACGCGCGGAACATTTGCGAGCACGAGCTCTAAAAGCAGCAGTCAATGGTAGTACAATGGATGCACGAGATTTAATGGCAAGATATACTACAGATTTCATCGGTGCTTGTGGATTCGGCCTAGAAGCGGACTCTCTCAACGATGAAGATGCTGCATTCCGACAGCTAGGTATTAAAATATTTACATTCGATCTTCAAGATGCTTTAGTTGTGCTATTAAAAGATATGTTCCCAGTTATGGCAAAGAACTTGAGAATAATGGGGAAAGTTGAAAGTGAATTAATAATTCTGGTCAAGGAGATTCTAAGAAAGAGAAACTACAAACCTTCTGGACGACATGATTTCATCGATTTGTTGTTAGAATGCAAAAACCAAGGAACCGTTATTGGTCAGTCAATAGAAAAATTTAACGACGATGGAACTCCTAAAGAGGCTAAATTAGAATTCGATGACGTAATTATAGCCGCCCAAGTATTTGTATTTTTCGCAGCTGGTTTTGAAACATCTTCTTCTGCAACGAGTTTTACATTACACCAACTTGCTCATAATCCAGAAGTACAAAAAAAAGTACACAAGGAGATTGACACTGTACTAGCTAAATACGACAACAAGCTCTGTTATGAGGCTATTAACGAACTGACTTATTTAACATGGACCTTTAAAGAAGCAATGAGGATTTTTCCTTCACTAGGATTTTTAGCCAGAACTTGCAGAAAAAAATATACATTTCCAAATAGTGACTTGACCATTGATGAAGGAGTAAACATCGTAATACCCATTCAATCCTTTCATAATGATCCTCAGTATTGGGATAATCCTCAAGAATTTCGACCTGAAAGATTTCATCCTGATGAATTTAATGAAATTCACAAAAGTGTTTATCTTCCATTTGGTGACGGCCCTCGCAATTGTATAGGTAAGTCAGACTTTTTACATTATTTCAGTTTAGTAGTTTATACGTAAAGCCATATTATTAGGTATATTATTATGTATTATTGTATGATAATATTTTATATATTATAATACACTTTTGAAGTAGTATTATGGTGTAACAAAAAGGAATTTTGACTAGTACCAAGTCAAAACCACGACCTATTTAAAGTATGGCTAACTGTGCTTAATGATATGTAAATAGCTCAGACATAAGAACGAGTGATGCTTATTTTTTTTAAATTTAATTCCATTGGTCTGCTCTTAACTGACTATATTAGTTGATGGTACAACCAATTATGTTATCTGTGGTACAACTGTGTAACTGTTACTTTATTACTGCTCGGCCACATTCATTGTTACCTTAGTTAACTTCCTATTAAACAAAAATCTGTAAAATAATTTTGCTTTAGTGAACTAAGCGAGTGGTGCTTAGTTAACTTAACTAATAAGTAATCATAGAGGTCCAGTTTTATATAGGTAGTAATTATAAATTTAACTATTGATATGTGTATGTATTCAGTTTCTCAACATACCATACCATGTATGTGCACCTAATTTGTTAATGTAATTTTCCAGGTGCTCGTCTGGGATTAATGCAATCTTTAGCTGGTTTGACTGCTATTCTATCTCAGTTCTCTGTAGAACCTGCACCAGAGACTAAGCGTTACCCTACTATAGACCCCACCTCACATGTGGTACAAAGTATTTCAGGAGGTCTACCACTCTTGTTCAATGTGAGAAAGGATGTAAAATTGTGTTGATGTTAGTATTATTCTAGTAACTGTTATAAGATTGAATATGAATGATATTTATTTCATTAAGAAAACGATGTATATATATAATATATTATTATAGATTAAATATATTTTTTTTAAAACAAAGTGTTAAATTTTTTGTGTAGCTTTTATTTATATTATAATAACTAATAAGTCCATCTACTGCTGTAAATGCATAAAGACATATATAGGTTTTTGTATTTCTATCCTTGGAATAGAACATACCTTTATATAAATAGCTGCACGCCCCGGCTTCGCCCGGGTGTACATGTATTATATATATATATATATATATATATATATATCACATAATCCTTCCTCTAGAATCACTATGTATTAAAAAAACCGCTTCAAAATCCGTTACGTAGTTTTAAAGATTTACGAATACATAGGGACAGACAGCGACAGCGACTTTATTTTATACTATATAATGATGATGGAACTTGATGGCACTGTGTGAATTGTCCTGGGTTATTATTTCCTGTAATAGAGATTATTAGAAATTATTTGTAGCTCTATTTACATATATACATTTCTTTATTATAAGAGGAGCAGCGATTTCAAAAAGATGGTTTCGGGTTCGTATCCTCTCACGGTACAAACATTTGTGTTCATAAATATGATTATTTGTATCAGTCTGGATATTTTCTGTGCATTATATGTAGGTACCTATCTACAAAAAAAATATAGCTATGTATTTATATCAATTGTCCCATAACCCATAACACAAGCTCTGCTTGCCTTGGAACTCAATGGCGCTGTGTGAATTCTGCTGAGGTGCTATTATTGCAAGAATTTATGAAAATATCAAGTTATAAAAAATAATGAATGCTATATAATGTGTATCTATCACCTATAAATATTTTTTTGAAAATTAATAGAGCATCTGGAAAAGACGAGCAAAATGTAACCAGTTTTACAAAGGAAACATTAATTAATTACGTGATATGTTAAGTATTGCATTTACAACGGTGACATTGCCTCTGTCCACCTCATCTCGGATATCAGTTGTGATGATACTAATATGAATCACATTAAATTATCTTTAGTTAGTAATAATTATATTATTAAAGATAAAAGGTGACTAGATGATGAATAGATAAGTGGGTAATTTCAATAATTTTTATACATATCATTATACATGAAAATGGTTGAGTATTAGCTAGACTAGCCTACTGACACTTCTGCATTACATACTTTAAATATAATATATTCATATATATCCTTTTTTATATAAGTGGAATGGTAAACAAGCCAATGGCCTATCTGCTGATTAGCAGTGACCGTTGCTATATACTTAAACAGTACAATGAGCAACGCGTTTTCATGTGACACATTCGTTTCCATTTTAAAGGATTATGTTATGCCTCTTATCCAATAATTTCACTGTCTAATCATCACCGAAGCACAGCTTACAGAGCATGCTGTTGAGCAGCAGAAATAGGTGAGATTGAGGTACCCATGCAGATAAGTGTTAGTAATCTATGTAATTATTACTGTTACTTTCGGATATTTCTATATATTTTTTACTTTTATATTCATAATTCAATTTGATTTAGCTTCATGAGTTTTCTATCTGTTCTATTCAGTTGGTAGTAGACGTAAACTTTGTACAGTCTTCAGTATGGGTACTTCTTCTATCTTACCTATTTCAGGGTTCAGACAGTTTCTTTATAAGCTTAATGTAGGTTAGAGAGTGAGATATAGCGACAGAGAGATTCTCCTGGATGAACATCATATACGCAGGCGTCGATTGCAACTCATCATCGTGTTAACCATCTAAACAAGAAAAATCTAGCTTTCCCTTTATATTACTCTAAGACTAGTAGTATGATATAAGGCGCGACATCTTAATCCTCTTGAATGATAACGCATGATGCCCGTGTAATACCAATGACGGACGGCGTTATATGATAAACTGTTGTTACAGACAATGTGCAACAAAGCAATGTTACCACTTATATCAGGTGAACAACAAGCTTGTTTATCATTCCTATTACATAAAAGAAATGCATCGTTGTAGAATTATATAATTTTATGATGATAGACAGACTGAGTTTATTCTAGCACATTCGTTTTATTTGTACTATTTGATACGAGACATCAAAAATGACAACACCAGACAAAGTCTAGTGATAAGTAAACTTTAGTTTCAAAATACAGTTGATATAACGCATAATATACGTGATACATATATGTACATAATATACATGTAATACACTAATTTAATTCTTATATAAAAGCACCGATATTTGATAATAATTTTGATAAGCTGGATTATTTTGTTTCTAGCTATTAATCATCATTACCATTCATGTAATGATGTATGAGTAATCGGTTAGTTGTCTGGTCTTGGACGCTTGTTAGTTTTAACAAAAAAATATTTTGAGTGAACTTTATAACGTACAGTAACTGATATTAATCTCTACTAGGATATAGTACAAATAAGAAAAAAGATTTGTATAATATTTCTTAATACTATTGAGATTATAAAATATTTGAACGATTTATATATTCACAGGCTGTATTCGATATGAACAGTGCAGCGTGATATGCTTAATTTATATCAACAAATTAAAACCGATGTTTATTTATGAAATGCTTAGTTACGCTTGTTTTAAATGCTGAGTTCGTATTGTCAAATATTTTTATATTTATCTAGGTATATTTGTAACTTCTAGCAGGAGTTTTCTCTTTATAATATATATAGATATTATTTTTAGTAATATTAATATGTATTTTGTTTTCCAACATGTTTGTCCTTGACCTTTTCGTGTTCTTTATATGTTTTTGTTGTTCCTTGAGTGATCTCATAATAGTCAACAAGTTCTTTGTACGTACCAAACGGCTGCTGAATAGTATTTATTTTCAATTGTTTTCTGTTTTTTCGCCGTCAAGTCAGCGAAGTTGAATTTCGATTTCGATTCTTGCAATATAGTAGTCCCAATCTCTACTGTTTTTATTACATAAAAGTTATTGTCTAAAAGTAATTTGTTTTTAATAATGGATTGATTTACTCATACTGCTATAAATATTGTACCTCAAACTGTGAATGCATTACCGATTCTAATAGAACTTTGCCACCAAAAAGACTTAAACAGTGGGGACATTCACTGGTACTCTGCCAGTGTAACCGTTAGCGGGTGCACCATTACATTAACATCAATAAAAGTAATGATACTCAAATATTGATATTTTAGGGATATTGACTATTTCTATCAGGGGACTAAAGAGTCTGTTGATTTTTTTTTTATTATTTTGTGACTCACCGTTTCCTTAAAACAGTGAGACTTGACAATTTAGCCTAGCTTTTAGAATTAAATTAAATCTTTTAGATAGATCTTCTAGCACATTTTTTACTTGCAGAATTTTATTTATTTTTCTAACATTCTTGAGAAGTCCCTCGACCTTCGACCCTTACCATGTTAGAGGTAAAAAGCAATATTGGTACCTACACAAATTAAAATAAATTACTTTTGTATAAATGTACACGCGTATCTATAGTTGCGTCGGTTACTAATATATTTAATTTTTAAATGTCTATCTAGCAAATAGCTCGAATTAGGAAAGTTTTTATATTCAGTAAATTAATATTTAGCAAACTTTCTAAATGACTAATGTAAAATTTCCATAAATAGGTAAGTTTCAAATTAATCAATTTTTAAAACGCGAATAATTAATTATGTTTTATTATTATAGGACAAACTGCGAGCGCATTGCGATTTTGTCACAATGGAAACTGACTTCAAAAGTAACGACATTAATAGGCATAGGAATAACACAAAATTATAATTTATGGATTGCTATGTGTTTACAATGCGGTAAAATTTTAACAAAGATAAGAGACAGAAGATAAATACGAAATTATTTCTTTTTTTATGAATGTGTGGTGTCTATTCATACTTATAAATAAATATGCAAATTTATTTGTATAAAAAAAAAAAGATAAAAGCAACTACCTAGTCACGTCGGTAAGAGGAGAAAGAATGTTTTCCTATATTCTATTAAAGTTAAAAATACCCATTGAGTTGTGAAAGAATCACGTCAAATGTCTTAAACGGTTCTTTCCGAACGGATGGGCGGTTTGATTGCGCGGACTCCTTGAATGCTACGCTCGGGGCCTTCACGGACTATCTTTTGTTGGAATTCCTTTTGAGTGTTCGGAAGAAACTTTATCTTCCGTCGTCTAAAATTTTTCTGTACGTGACATATTTACTTTATATGAAACAGGCCAGCCAATTTTTATGGCTGTTAAATTTTGTGGCACCTCAAAGGCGTGGTTTAATTTGTTGTTTAAGTACCCTAACAGTTCCGTGACGTAATTAATAAGACATCATTATACATTACCTTACGCAGATTAATAAAAAATACAATAAATGAATCTCACGTATAAAATTTAATAATATAAATTTATTATTTTTATATTTAAATCATATATTAATGTTTTTTATTTATATTTACCTTACAATATCAAAGCTCATGCTTCCGTCAAAATATTTAAACAGAACATTAATATGTGTTGATTATTATTGCATATTATTATTAGTAAAAATAATTATTTTTTGTATAAATATAATTCAATGAACGAATATAAAATGGCTAACTGCTACGAGTAATTACATAAATTTAAATAAATAAGCAATAACCTTGTTGTATAGTACGTTATTTTCGAAATAAAAATGTTCTGGACTCTTAGAAATTACGGAAGCTGAATTTACGAGCTCTTCCATTAATTTATTACTCAAACAAATAAACTGAATTCGAAAAAGTCGCTTGATTGTTTACGTTGCGAATTGAGTTTTAGGAGTTTTGTCTAAAAAGTGTTCAATTTTGGTAAATACTTCTAAATTTTTGCTTCTACTTATTAACAAACAAATACCTTGTACTATGTAATATTATATTATCTGTGCTTATACTAAACAACTGTTTTAAGCGATTCTGATTTTTTCTTATATAAAGGTAGTTCATATTTATCTTTTGACTAC